ACAACTAAACACTACAAATTCCTTAGTGTGGTACCAGTCTCATCCTCTTTCCTTTCACATGCTCAGGCTATGGGCTGAGGAGATGCTTCTCCCCATGACCTTGAACCTCCTCATCCAAGTCCTCTATCACAACTGCCAGTTATTACAGGTAAAGTCTTGATTAATGCGGCTAATGAATTCCATGAAATGATTGCATTACAGTAATCAAATTCATACTATTTGAAGAAATATTTTTATGGAAAATATGGTAACTAGTTCCAGCTCGATGGAAATAGGCAATGAAAAACATTTAACATAAATTTTTGTATGTATATTAATGAAATATTACAGTAAAGGATAAAAAGAATACATTTATAATTTAAATGTATGGTTAACAAAGTCATAGGGTAGTTATAGAAAGCAAAATAAAAACAAGTTCTACTGTAGATTCAGGCATTCCAACATCTTGTTCTATTTTAGCATCACTATGACCACATTCATGTTGTTCAATTACACCAGATTTTTGCTGTAATGTAATAACAAGCCTCTTCTTTTTCAAACTTGTACTGTTTTCCTCAGACAGAATCTTCTTTTCTCCATTTTTCACATACAAAGATTAGCAGTGTCTAAAACCCCAGCTGCAACTATGCATGCACTAGCCTCAATTGTGCATGCACTAGCTTCGCATTAACTGAGTTTTGGGTCACAGTCAATGTGGCCTGATATCAATTTACAGTTTATGCTAAATCGAATATCGCATTATTCAAACTCACACTAATTGTGACCTACCTATATCTGTCCTGATCTGAACAGTCTGGGGCTACTTAAAAATAATTAATCTAAGGGTCCATTTCTATGCATGTTGGCTTCCCAGTTCATGAAGCCAGTATAAAATGACATGCTTTAATCCTTGGTCAGAAGTATCATACATAGTCATGTGACAAAAGTCTTTCCAATCATGGCATGAAAGGACTGTTTTTGGAAGGAAGGCCTGAGTTGCTCCTATTTTCAATGGCTAGTGAATAACTGATTTATTTCAGGTGGATTTTGGACTGAAGAGATATGGAATAGAACAGGAATACAATTGTATTGGGGGGGGGAGGGTGAAACTTTGGCCCATTTGGCCTTTGAATGGTATCCTGGGGGATGCATTCAGACTGTGGATGTGGCCAGGACAAAAACTAAATGATTTTATTTATATTAAATTAAAATTAATTAAATTTGGTTTTAATCATGATCCCTTTTGATCATACTAAAAATTATAATTTGGATGGCCTCAGGGGACTGCATTCAGGACCTTGAAGAAGCCTAGGGTTTTAGGTTGTGCCTCAATGATTTCAACATAACTGGAGATTAATTATGGTAACAGGTTGCTCTTCATTTATATTTGTGCTTCATTTATTTTTGTATATAATTTTAGTCTGAGGTTGTAATGTGATACCCAGATGGGGTCATGGATAAATGTTTTAACAAGCAAACCTGTATATCTAAGGTTGTGGACCAATGGCATAAATATTTTTATAACAGGCATATATTTTGGAGATGATCCAAAAATATGTATCTTGTTGGAACTGATAACATAAAAGTTAATAAATGGCAAAAACTATCCAGCAGGCTTTTTAAAGCTGCATCTAAACAACTGCTACAGGTGGTCCTTGTTTAACGACTGCTCATTCAGAGACCATTCGAACTTATGACAGCTCTGAATGAGTGGTAGTTTTGACCGGGCCTCATACTTATTGTCATCGCAGCATCCCCACAGTTATGTGATCACAATTTGTGACCTTCCATGCTGGCTTCCCACGAGCAAAGTCAATGGGGAAGCTGGCAGGGAGTTAGAAGTCATGGTCATGTAACAACCCACATGGTCCTTGTTTAACGACAGCAACTGGAACTGCTGGAACTGCCGTTGCTAAGTGGCATGGTCATGTGGTTTTTTGACTTACAATTGTGTCACTTAATGACAGAGATTCCAATCCCAGTTAGCATTGTTAAACAAGGACTACCTGTACTGAATAATCTCTAGTTAAACACAGTTTTATCCCTTCACCACAATGCATCCTCTGTTGCATATTACTATGGAAATGAACTCAGTAGGAAAGTCTGCTTATGGGACTTTTAGATGGCCATAGTATTTGAGTCAAGACTGCGATTGCATTGCTTTACAGTGATATATTAAAAATGTCATTATTAGCAAAGATTCAAATATTAAAGGACCATGGCATTGCATGGGTTGATCATATGCACTATACACCCCAGATGTATTTTTATTAATCCATTTGCTGTAATATAAGCTGAAAATGACTATGTTTATAGCCAATCATTTGGCAGGTTTTTAATAATAATAATAATAATAATAATAATAATAAATATAGATACAGCTTGTTTTTATACACAGATGGTAATACACAAACCATAAACACATTTACAATGAATCTTGAAAATTTCCATTTTCATGGTGGTAAATAGTCTGTTCTTCAACATTTTGCATCACTCCCTTTTCCTTCTGCAACTCTTTCCTTTGTGCTACACCATGCTGAACAGTAGCACCATACGTTTTCTTTGAGCTAACAAAGGTATCATTGTTCAGTTCAGTTTCTTCAGCCAGTTCATCTTGCTCAATTATTCCACATTTCTCTTCATTCAAACTTTCTGGGTCAGCCCATTCCTGCTTCTCACCAGAAGCAAAGATAGCATAAAATACCACTCCACTATAGTGAACTAAAGCAGCTATTAGAAAGACATTTTGCCATTCTTCACGAGTCTAAAGAAATGACATGGGACATATTTTATGTAGATTAAATTTATATTTGGTCTTTCCACCAAAAATAACATTCAAAAAGAATAAAATATAAAGAAAATAACAAAGCTGTAGTTAGATATTAAAATTCAGGAATTAAAAACTTATCAAATAAAAAATATAATAAATAATATCACCTTGAAATAAATTGATTTCATCAGGAAGTTAGCTTTGGAGCCAAATAAAACTTTTTTTCTGTCAAAAGAGACAGGCTGGGCTCCTTTAGCAGATAGATGCAGAATTTAGGAGCATCTGCAAAAAAGGCCCTTTCTTTTGTTGTTATCAGATATGCCTGTGGTAGCGGAGGAACAGAAAGCCCTCATGGCATAATAATGTTATACTTCAAATCACAGAAGGCTTGGTAGCTAATGACCAGCACTCTGAATTGATCCTCGAGACAGACAAGAGCAAGTGAAGCTATTGTAAATAAGAGTCACTTGCTGGTGCTAGTTAATAATATAGCCACATTCTGAATCAGCTGAAAATTCTGAAAATTTTTCAAAGGCAGCGCAGCATAAAGAGGTTAGTCTGAAAAGTAGGTGCATTACGATGGCTAGATCTGATATCTGTAGGAAGAACTTTATTAGCATACTAGCTTTGTTGTGTAAACACACACACTCTCTCCTAACCAGCACTGAAAGCTGACTCTTCAGGTTCAGTACTAAATCCAGAAGTACACTCACACTGCAGACTTGAATTTTCAAGGGCTCTATAATCTCATCCAAAACTGGTTCATTCCTATTCCTAAACTGACTTCTAATGGACAAGAAACACCTCCATCTTAAATGGATTAAACACCAGTGTTTTTCCTCACCCAGACAACTGCTGATATCAGATGCTGATTTAGAAAATGAACAGCTTCCTTAGATGTAAGTATTGTTTCAAATACTGACTAAAAGGAGACATTGAATTGAATGTCATCAGCTTGTTATTGGCAACAATCTCAACACCATAGATAATGTTCAAATGTATCTTCCTATTTATATTAAGTGGTATGGGAGAAAAGATGGAATGCTGCGAAACCCTATAGCCCAATGGCTAGTTTCCCATTTCTGAGAAATGCTGTGAAATCCCACCTTTTTCTGAAACTGCTGATGTCATAACTATTTGGCAAGGGTAATCCTCATGCCAAATCACACTTGCTGAAATAAAGTCTCATATCCCCACTATGTTTTCAAAATGGCTAGGAATGGGTTTGAAACTGGCAAAACTAATGATGTTTTTAAAAAAAACCACTGACTGCCATGCATTTGAAAGCCATTCAAGAAAAAACATCTGAACTTCATTACCTTATGTTTTGTCATTGCACCAACAATGAGAGGGCAGACCATTCCTGACAATGTCCCAACTCCATTAGAGATGCCCATGAGAATGCTGGCATACCGAGGTGCAATATCTAAATGGTTGACATTAAATCCTGTAATACAAAATATAACATCAACAAGGTGCATTCTGTTGGCATGAAAATGATTCAAGCAGCTGAACATGCAACTGCTTCTTTTAGGCTGATTCTTGTTGATCATGAATATACAGCCTAAGTCCCCAAGGTCTCATTGTCCTCTGGAGTTTGATTTGGTCCCTGAGAACTTCAAACATTGTTACCAAATGTGATAATGTGTATATATATATATATACAGCCTAGCCCTAACACACACACACACACACATATATATGTGTGTGTGTGTGTTAGGGCTACTTGTGTTAATCAGATTTAGTTTAATTTAAATGTAAAATTAAAGATAAATTTAGTTTGGGGCCAAGAGTCAGCCTACTTTTTGAAGTCTGGTCTCTGTGCACAGTCCTTGGCTCTCAAATGGAAATAATAAGTAAAGCACAGAAAAAGCAATTATTTTGGAAATAGGGCACTGAAAGTATCACAAACTCTCACATTTCATAGGTAATTAATGTGAAGTTTCTATACTGTTAAAATGAAATTATATTACTGGTTTTGAATCTTTTAAATACATAAATAATATAACAAGCATATTTAAGTAGTCAGTTTCTTAACCAGTCACTTGCATAATTGTGGTTCTTTTTAATTTTTTATGTGGTAAAATTTTCATTAGAAATCAGTCAATTTAAAAAGCCATTTAACAATGTCATATTGCACAGGTGAAAATTTTTATTAAATGCAAGAAAAAGGCAGTGGCAGTTTTGAAGATAAGGGAGACTTCAAATAGGTAAGAGATTTGCAGAGAAAGAAAATATTCTTCAAGTAGGAAGTCCTAACTGACAGTCATGATCATTCTCAAGAGTTCTCCAAACACCAGTTACGGAAGAAGCTCAATAGACTGAAGAACAAAAAGTCTCAGGCCACATTCATGCAAGCCATTTAAAAGTAAAGGCCAAGACTAGGCACAATATGAAAAGTAAAGGCCAAGACTAGACACAAGTATGAAGCAGCAGAAACCGAAGGTGATGCTAGCTGACAGCTGCTGTTACAGCTGTACCCAGATTTCAAGTCTCATTAATCATCACATCTACTGAACATATTTCAAACCCGAGTGAGTTTCAGCATTTTTTTTTTTTTGAGAACTTGGCTTAATGGGCTTTTCTTGTTATATTTTTTTACTGATTATAAAAGTTTTACTTGATAAGCATCTCTCTTCTGTGGAATGCCCCCTCCCCAACTTATTTCTTTTCTTTCCTTATTTTACTTTTGTGTTAGGAATTATATAAGCAACTGGTTTTAACATAGTGACTGCATGGACAGGAACAGGCAGGATTACATTTGCAAATGACTTAAACCTGCTGTTCAGGTTTTACCATGATTAGCCCTCTAGCATAGAACCTCGGGATACAAATTTACAAATGCAAATTTAATTTCTAAACAGATTGTCAATATGTTACTTTTAGCCTATTAAAAGGTGGCATCTGATTTGGTTCATTTGCCAAACAGAAAATGTTCTTTAATGACAAATGTTAAGGGTCCATATGTACAGACATGTTGCCTGTCAGTCTTGCACTATACGCTATACATTTTCTGTTTTGAATGAAATTTGAGGATCCACCTTTGTTGGAGAACGCGTATCACTACTTTAAAAACATGGCTCTTTGTCTGACACCAGTAGTGTTTTTACAATATTGTCTGAAGTACATACAGAAACAATGAATAGCTATAATAATCCTGCTGATGTTAAAATGCTTCTACAAGGGGCTTAACGGTAAGTTTTACCTGAAATAGCAAATCCACTAAAGCCTACTGCTAAAACCAAGAAAGAAATAGCCACACCTCTAGTGTGAGAATATCCAACCACCAAAAGTAAAGTAGCTTCCATCCCAAAACCTGCAAAGGAAATATATGGAAAAGATTGATCATTCTTCAAAATATGCTGCTACGAGATGTATTCAAGCAATCTATTTAATTTTAGATCATGTTTCTATTTTTTTTTCTTTAAAGTTAGTTCCAGACCCTAACTACATGCAGCTTGGTTTCTAGTTTTCTCTGCTTTTTATAAAAACACCATGCTACACTGTG